ACCGAGAGCCGGAAGCCAGGGACCGGACACCGGGGGCAACCGGCTGGGAGCAGCAGGTGGGGCGCGGCCCCGGAGGGGCGGCAGGCGGCCGGCCGGAAGGGTGCCGAGCGGGCGGACCCAGGGCTCCGCAGCGCTGGGAGTGAACCCTCCCGCTCACCTTTGGCGGCGACTCCGAGTCCGGCCTCTTCGCGCCGAGGACGCCGCTCCGCGAGTCGCGAGCTCGGAAGCGCTGGCGGGTCGCTAAGGAGGCGGCGGCGGCGGACTAACGAGAGAACCGAGGAACGACGGCGGGCTGCGGGCGGCGGGCGGGGAACTCGAGCGAGCGAAGGCGGGCGGCGGCAGGAGGGCGGGGAACGACGTGCGCGCTCCCGAGTGTCCAGCGGGCTCGAGCCGGCCACTGTCACGGCCCCGCGCACGCGCGCGCACTCACAACTCAGACATGATTGCTCAGGAACGTGTCCACGCCCTCAGAGCAAGGCTCTTAACCAATCATTGCAGCCGCGCAGGGCATCACGGGAACTCTGGGGCTATAAAAGACCTGGTTGCTATTTTATACTCTTCGAGTCACTCATGCTTTAAGTAAGCGGGTGGGTCTAGGTGCGCGTGCGCGGCGTAAATACTCCTCCCCAAACTGCCAACTCTTCGCGCAAGCGAGGTAGTCCTTCCCTGCTTGGGTTTGCGCGTGCGCACTAACTGGCCTGGCCCCGGAAGACCAGACGCCTGCGCGGTGGGGACTACAGTGACAATTCCTGGGGTGGGGCGCAAGCCAGTCATGGCGGAGCCTTGGTCTGGGCAGTCCTTGCAGGCTCTGCCGGCCACGGTGCTGGGCGCACTGGGCGCCCTAGGCAGCGAGTTCCTGCGGGAGTGGGAGGCGCAGGACATGCGCGTGACTCTCTTCAAGCTGCTGCTGCTGTGGTTGGTGTTAAGTCTCCTGGGCATCCAGCTGGCGTGGGGGTTCTACGGGAGCACGGTGACCGGGCTATATCACCGCCCAGGTGAGGTTCCCCACTAACCTCCGCGGGCCGCATGCCCCCACCGGACTGTACCATTTGGCTCCCCAGGACCTCCCTAGACTACCACTGGTCCCCCCAAAAGTCTCATCAGAATTTAATGCTGAACCCATACCGTTTAATGCCACCACACCGTTTCACGCCAGAATCCCCACGAGTCCACCCTTCACATTGTAACGTTCCCAGAATCCCCACCAGACAATACCACTAATCCCTTAGGACCCCCTCCCCCCCGACTCTTCACCAAACAGTATCACTGGCCCATAACCTAACCTGGGCTGATGCATGCGCAGATCCCCAGCCCCTAGTCTGCTGCAGCTCTGGCTATGTTCCTGCCCCCAGGTCTGGGCGGTCAGAACGGATCCACACCTGATGGCTCCACGCATTTCCCTTCCTGGTGAGTATATCTGTCCCCACCCCAGCTCCATGCTTGGCAGGCAGAGGACACTCCTGTGCTGGGGGTGGGGGAAGGGGGTTCTTGGGGTGGGAGTCCACCAGCTTAGTGGCCTTTGCAGCAAACTCCAAGGTCTACAGCCAGAGCTCACGCTTCAAGTTGGGGTGACATTGACACCTGGACAGCTTCTCTCAGCATGCTGTCCAGCAACCTGTGAGGTGGGTGGTAGGGACACTATCACCATTTTACAGATGAGGGAACAATTTCAGAGAGATGAAGTGGCAGGTCTGTTGGATTCCTCTCCAACGTAAGCCCCTCATTTGGGAAGGCAGGAGTCTCTGTCCTGAGAGCACTGACTAGCCTTATCAGGGTCAGCCTCCTGATGTGCAAATGACAGGCAGTCATTCAGCTCATCTCTGAGCTGAGACCAAATTCCGTCTTAGTTCCCTAGGGCTGCCATAAAGAACAGTAATTTCTCACAGTTCTGGAGGCTAAAAATCCAAATCAGCCCAGTTGTGGTCACATCCTTCTGTAGGCCTCTGTCCTGGTTTCTGGCGGGTGCCAGCAATCTTTGGCTTTTCTTTGCTGCTTATTGATGCATCCGCCTCCATTGTCACATGGTGTTTCTATTTCCACTGTGTGTCACTCCCTTTTTATAAGACACCATTTAGAAAGAATTAGGACTAGGATCCACCCTACTCTGGTATAATCTCATTTGACCCAATTGATGACAGAAGAGAATCTCTTATTTCCCCAAACAAAGTCATATTCACAGATACAGGGATTAGGACTTCAACATATCTTTTTGGAGGAAACATTTAAATCTATAATACTCTACCCTTTGGCCCCCCAAAATCCATTTCCTTCCCATGTGCAAAATACATTCACCCCATCACAAAAGTCTTAACCCTTCCAGCATCCACTCTTAAGTCCAAGATCTCATCTTTTGAATCGTCTAAATCAGGTATGGGTGAGACTCTGAGTATTTTCCATCCTGGGTTAAAACTCCTCTCCATCTATGGACCTGTGAAACCTAGAACACAGGTTGTTGGCTTCCAAAATACAATGGTGGTTCCTACCACGTGGTAGGAGCTTAGAAATTAGCTGAATGAATGAAGACATGGAGGGGGACCTGCAGGGCCCTTACTCTAAGATCCAGGGAACTACTGAAGGAATCTGGGAGGTGGGACCTGATCTAATTTGCCTTTATAAGTGCCTGTGTCATGGCAAGATGAAGGGATCCAAGAGTGAAGGCAAGAGGCTAGTTAGGAAGCCTGCCACTGGCTAGGTTTCTGTCTTGGGCAACTGGAGAAGGATGGTGGCACCATAAGGTGGGGACCCAGAAGGAAGAATAGGTCTGCATGGGGAAGGTGGTGAGCCCAGTTTGGGCTGTAGGGCCTGTGAGGCACCAAAGATCTGAAGCTCAGCAGAGAGATCTGGATTGTAGTACGGCCTTACTGAATCCAGCTCAGCTCTCAAGAAGGGCCTGGGATGAGCCAATCCCAGAGACTGTTCTGCTGCCCATGGAATAATAACCCATCTCTTCTCTCTCTCCATCACTTTCAGGGAAACTGCAGCAAACGAACCTCTCAAAACCCACAGAGAATAAGAGAAGGCAATAGGGAGTTGCCTGGCTCCCACTCTGGGTTCTCCTGCTGCCCAGGTCCCATGGATGACTACAGGGGGCTTGGAGTTGGGGACAGGAGTACCTCAGTGCTTGCAGGGCTGGCCTTTGCAGGCCCAGTGAACTTTGCCTCTACCCGGATCTGAGTGCCTTAAGTGGGGAAAGTGTGTTCTTCGTCTCTCAGGGGCTGGAGCTCAGGAGTAGCCTCTAGACTGGGGAGGCCAACAATCCGTTATCTGTCCTGGCTTTCTCCTGCTCCTCTTCCCATTCCCCTGTGGTGTGACCCCATAGAGATTTGTCTAGCTGAGAGGATGCCTGAGGTTGAGGTTGACCAACCATGGGATTTGTAAGGAAAGTCTGTTCTACCCTAAGACCTGGGTTCCCTGAATTCCTTTGGTTTTGTTTTGTTGGCAGGGAGCCAGGGAATCTTGGCCTGAGCCAGACCTTATACTCTGGGGTGGCCTCCCACCCCCATTGCTGAAGTGCCCATGGGGTCTCGGGTCTGTACCCTGCCCCTACACTGGGAAGTACTGCAAAGTTACTTAGTTAGCTATTAAGGTATAAGACCTTATGGCAAGGGGTAGCTGGCACCATCCAATCATGGAGGCACTGACCACACCTCTCCAGCCCACCTAGAGCTCTTTAGGTATGACCCAGGTAAAGGAAATTGTCGTTTCCCAAGTGTTCTACTTATATTCCTCAGTCTTTCTTGGGGGGGAAACTGGGTGCCTGAAAGGGGCAGAGTCTACCAGCTGGGCTCCTGGGGTGGCCTCCCATCCCCACCACTGAAGTGCCCGTGGAGTCTCGAGTATGTACCCCGCCCCTTCGCTGAGGTACTGAGCAGTTAGTACAGAGCTGCCCCATCATGCCCTGCAGCCTCATCACTTCCCACCTTGACCTGGAACAACAGGAGCCTCATCCTAAGAGCCCGAAGGTTCAGCTCCTCCTCACCAGCACTATCTCAGTGCAGAAGAGCCACAGGCCAGGCAGGCCTGCCATCTCCCTAGTGGGCCAGGGGAGCTTCCAAAAGTGTGTGTTGCAAAACATCCCCAAAGAAGCACTGGTTCCTGAAAGCAGTGTGGCCCTGTACCTGCCTCACTCTCTGATAGCAACGCCTCTGCCTGCCTCTGCTGGACCACTAGCTACCTCAGTGTCCTGCTGCCTACTTCCTCTCTGTTAGAGGTCACATTTCTGTGTGGCAGCCTTTCCCTACGCCATCCTTATGGCAGAGGGGCACTGAAAGTGGGTGCTGTAATCAGCACACATATACACTCCAGAGATGTCTTCTGGGTGGCAGATTGATGGTCTTCCCAGGCCTACCCACCACCACCACCACACACAGAAATAGGGCCTAATATCTCACTCCAGACTCAACTGAGTCTGTGGCTTATTAAAAATGGAAGCGGATCAGTCGTGTGGTTATTCAGACAGGACGAGGCCATGTATGCTCACGGGTAACTGGAGAGGTAACACCCGGGGGGCGGGGGGGGTTAGGGGTGTTGCTCCTCAGGACCCTGAATGCAATGGCTTGCAGAGGTGGAGAGATGATGCCAGCTCCCTAGAAGAGTGATATGGGGTGCCCAACAGGAACAACATCCCCGTCAGTCCTTATAGGCCTGGCCTCTCTCAAGGAGAACCCATTCCAAGCCTGTCCTGGCCTCCATGATGGCGGGCATTGGGCTGGCACCCTGGAACCTTGTGGATAAAGCACAATGAAGCTAACAACTGTAGCAAGCAAGGAGGAAGGAAGCTCATTTAATTTTTTCAGGAGTCAGTATAGTCCAGTAATGGGCCCCAGGGGCAAAGGTCAGCCCAGGGTAAGGCAGGTCCAGGAGGAGACCCAGACCGGCCCTACAGCAGCCCTGGAGCTCAGAACAGGTGGTGAGCTTGGCAAGGTTAGTTTGCTACTGGGTGGCAGGCTGGGCCAAAGCTGGAATAAGGAAGAGTGAGTCTGTGCCCTCCCAGCGATCCCCGAGTTTACACATAGGCACAGCAGAGCTGCTGGGCCAACCCTCAGTGAGTCGAGAATCACTCCTGCCCAGGGAAAGGCAACAGTTTGCATTTGTGAAAAGCAAATTGGAGGAGGTGGTCTGACCTGACCCTGCCCAAGGTAATAGGCCTTTGTAGTGTGAGAAACAGCTTTGAGAGGTAGGCTGGGCAGGCTTTTGCTTTCCTACAAAGGTGAGCCTTTGCTCCACAGCCAGGACCTGGCAGAGTGGAGGGGAGAGATGCCAGAACTGGTTTTTCTCACAGCATTCCAGCAGGTGAGAGATGGGTCAGTGGGAGCATGGGCTGAAACACAACATTGGGAAAGCTGGTCTGCTGCTCAGAAACAGGGTTCTAAAGTTGGAGTGGCATGGGAGAGTTGGGGGGTAGGCAGGAGAGAATAGGTAGTATGGCCTTCCTCAACCAGATAACTAGAGCCAGCCTCCACCCTTATACCCTCCATCCCCACCCTTCGTATTCTGTCTCAGATTCCTAACTAACCACTTATAGAATGCCCTCCATGGCAAGGCTCTTGAAGGGGAGGGCCCTGCCCCGTCTACCCTCACTTGAGGGTATAGTAGCTTGTACGCACGAAAGGCATCTTGCTGACCACAGCTGCCTGCTGCTTCCGCCGCACTTCTACTAGCACCAAGGTCCCTGGCCGACTGTACTGGCTGGGCACATAACCCATTGCCACATTCTTCTTCAGGCTGGGCGAGGGGCAGCCACTGGTTACAGTACCTATCCAGGCATAGGCCATGCATCAGCACCACCCTCCCAGCCCAGCACTCCAACACCTCTGGGGATGTTCTGAAACAAGGGCTCCCCAGCCTCCCTGGTTCACCTACCAATCATGGCACCCTCTGTGCTCAGGATGGGGCTGTGTGCCCGCATTGGGGGCCCCTCACACATCAAGCCCACACGCCTCCGCTGCACCTTGCCCTTGAGCTGGGGAACAATGACCTCGGCTCCAGGGAAGTCCATGGCAGCTCGGCGGCGCTTCCCTAGAATGTGACACACCAGATCTAAGTCATAGCCCACAGGAGCCCTGGCCACAGGAGGTCCTAACTACAAGGATCCCAAGTGACATCCATCCAACATCAAGGCCCCTTCACTCAGGCTTCCCCAGGCCCCGTACCTCCCCTGCACTGCAGTCAACCAGCCACCCACTTCCTGTTCCCTGGTCCAGAAGTCCATGCTGCCCACCTTAGCCTGCCAAGGGTCCTCAGCTTCTAACGAGCAAGGTCACAGGGACACCTCCAAGGAATGGAGGCTCAGGGAGGCCAAGTCACTTGCTCCAGGCTACACAATCTTGGGAGTTGTCAAGGACTGGCTAGTCTCATTAAGGGCCATTCCAACCTTCAAGACCCCATCCTTGAGTGCCAGCCTAGCTCACCCAAAGTCCAGCTGAGGCTGCCCTCCACAGGTGTGGTATGCTCATCAATGTCGTTCCCGTACAGGCAGAGGCCTGCCTCCAGGCGCAGGCTGTCCCGTGCTGCCAGCCCTGCCAGCTTTACCTCCGGGTTTTCCAGGAGAGCCATTGCCAGGTGGACTGCCTCTGCTGCCGGCACTGAGATCTGCGTGGGATACCACAGGGCAGGTGGGCAGCTGCCCCAGAGTCCTGTGCCTGCAAATGCCTGTGCCCACTGCTTGACAAACCTCTACACCATCTTCGCCTGTGTAGCCACAGCGGGTCACACGGCAGCTGGACACGCCAAACACCTCCATCACAGCACTGGTCATGAAGGGCAGCTTCCTGAGGTCATCTGTCACACCAGCCTGTAGCACCTGGGCTGCAGTGGGGCCTGGGCCCAGAGAACCAGTAACCAAGCATCTAAGTCCCAGAGCCCCTCAAAGCCAGGCCATAGCCCTTAGGGACCAGAACAAGCCCTGAGATGTTTGTCCCTTCTCTGCAGGTGGAAGAAGACACTCTTGCCCACAACCCATGGAGCCTTGTGTGTGTGTGTGTGGGCGGGGGGAGATGGGAAGGGCAAGATACAAAATTAGAATTATGGCTCACAAATACCACACAATCCACACCTCCCTGGCCCAGCCTCTATGCTGAGCAGTCAATGAAGCCAGGAAGGCAGAGGTCAGTTGCAACCCCAGGTCGGCCCTCTCACCTTGCAGGGCCAGTAGGGCATTATCCACCACCTCCAAGCCCACATCACTGCCCGTGTTCTGAAGCTCCTTGACCTTGTCCTGAAAGAAGAAACCAATACTAGTCACTGTGCACCTACCATGAACCAGGCACTGCAGAGCTGGACAACAAGACAATGGGTTGCTTCTCATCAGATGAGGAGGCTGAGCCTCAGAGATGATGGGTGATTTTCCCAAGGTCACATAGCTACTAAGTAGTGGGGATGACTCAGGCCCAGGTCTGCCAGCTCTCGCACCAGGTTCCAGACTTCCACCCTCCCCAGAGGATGCTCACTCAGGGCCAGGGTCAGCTTCACCTGCCCCTCTCCACACCACCAAATCCTGGCTTATTCCAGGGAGGCCTATTCTGAGTCTCCCAACTGCTTATTCACTCAAAGAGCCATTTTCTGAGCCCCTTGTCCATGCTAGGCCTGTCCTGGGCACCAAGGCTGCCACCGTGTGAGCAAGGAAGACAGGGTGCCTAGGGCATGGAGGGGCTGTACCTGCATGAGGGCCAAGTCCTTGTCCCAGCAGCCAGCATTGGACACCACATACAGGTGCTCCTCAGAGGTGTTGATCACAATCAAGTCATCTATGATGCCTCCAGCCTCGTTGGTAAACAGTGACAGTGTCCCCTGGCACCAAAGTGGAGTGTCTTTACCTCCAGGTCCAGGAGATTGAGGCCAAGGGTGAGCCAAACACACCTCTGGGCCAACACAGCCACCACAAACTCACCAACCCTCACGCACAGGACTAGGGGTACGCAAAGTACAAGTCTGGGTCAGCCTGGGCCCCTGCCCAAGCCCAGGGTCTGTGATCTTAATGCACTGAGAAAGTATTCACCCCCTCCCCACCTTAGGGGACTTCCTCAATCTGGTAGGGCCTCTGCACCCTTCCCTACTCAGTACTGAAAGCCCCATCTCCAATTTAACACAGTACTCCTAGGACCGGCTGCATCATCCCACTCAAACTTGGGACAGCTCAGCCCATGACCCAATCCTCAGGACAGAAGCTTCAAAGTCCATCTTGACAATCCCACACACTCCTAGAGCACTCTATAGCAATGCCCACTAAGATACTATGAGGCTGGCCTTGGCCTCCCACTGGATGAAGAGCCTGAAGTTCAGAGGTCACGTGAATCTCCTGGGGAGCTTGTTAAAGTGCAGGTTCTGATTCTGCAGGTCTTGGGCAGGGCCAGAGACCATATCCTTAACAAGCTCCTAGGCGAAGATGAGGCTGCTGGTTTAGGGACCACATTTTGAGTAGGGAGGAGTCAGGTGGCATGAAAGGTCACAGAACAGTACCTGAACTCGAGTTTCTGGCCTCCTAGCCTGATGGGGCAAGGCTGGGACAGGCCCCTCCCTGCAGATGGCTGGGTGTCTGGACATGACTCAGGGACTCCACCTGCCCAAGACTGGAGTCCTGAGAAGCTATGTTGATACATCTCTGTGCCCCTAAGCCCACAGTAGGGGCTCAGCCCATGTTTGCTGCTCATGGCTGAGAACACCCACTGAGCAGAAATAAGAGAAGAGGAGCCCACCTGGTTTGGCCTTAGCTCCGCAATGTCTCCAACCACTAGACTCTCCATCAGCTTCACCCGGTCACAACCAAATATCTTGGTCTGAGGAAGAGATCAAAAGCCTCAGGCCACTGCAACAGCTGCAGTCAGAGAAGGCGGCAGTGGGCATCCACAGCACAGTCTAGCCCAGCAGAAGTGCCTGACCCATCTTTTGGTTCTGCAGGTGGCAGAGGCCCCACCTTCTGATTCCCCTACATCCTCCACCACAGGGCGGGGCTCACTGGGGGAGATGAATGGAAGTCAGGGAACTGGAGGAACCAAGCACCTTCCTGAAATACCCCTTTTCCAAACCAATACCCAGGACTGTTGATGAGGGTGGGTGCCAGTCCCGGAAACCCCAGGACGTTAAGGCACGCCACTAAGCGGAAGTAGGCTGGATAGATTAGAAGGCGACGATCAGGAGATCCTGAGTGAATTTCCCAGGGCCACAGTCAGTCTCACGACACTCCTGAGAAACCCAGTTCTTCTGGGAGGTCGGCCCTCAGGATCCAGCTCCCAGGAAAAACGCCGAGGACCACACCACTGTAAACCAGAGGAACACTGGTTTGGCAGCCAGTACTCTCCCCGGCTCACCTGCAGCATGTGGGATACATCAAAGAGTGAGCAGTGCCGGCGTGTGTGCAGGTGCGAGTCAATGTGGCTGTCCCGGTACTGCACAGGCAGGCTCCAGCCCGCGAATGCCACCATCTTCCCGCCATAAGCCAGGTGCAAGTCATAGAGTGGCGTCCTGCGGAGCACGTCCTGCGGGCGGCCAGACTTAGTGCTGCCAGGACCCCAGACCCCCGGCTGCCTCCCTCCCCCGCCCTCCAAAGTCAACACCCCACCCCAGCACCCTCTATCCCACCTGTGCACAAATGAGTGATCGGCTCAGGGTCGAGGGGGGCGCCTGTAGGCGCGAGCCCACCCAGGCCACCATGCTCCCTGCCCGCCACATTGTCGCCCGAAACCAGTGCAGCCGGCGCACAGAGGCCACCACTCTGCTGGGCACGCCGGGAGATGTAGTCCGGCCCCTGCCCGGACAGGTCTTTATCCCCTGCGGGAGCCCAGATGAGAAAACAAGCAGCCCCCAGGGCAGGCCAGGCTTTCAAGCTGGTAAACAGCCCCAGGATCTTCCAGCTGGCTGATCAGGGCAGTTTGAGCTGCTCAAAGACACAGCTAGGGGCTAGACCTCCCCCTGCTGATTGTCCTGCCTCCAAAGGGTCAAAGTTCTGCAAAGGGCTGGAAGGCCTGAATCACAGTCTGGACCCTAGGAGAGTAAGGTCAAATGGCGGGGGAGGGGTGAGAAGGCCACAGGATGGTGGAGCCAGCCTGACAGAGCACCATGGTAACCTGGCTTCATGTGAGGGTCCCCAGCTCTCCCACTAGGCAGACACAGGCAGCCAGCAGAGTCATGCATTCCACAAGTATTTATTGATCTTGCTGCACACCAGGCCCTGTGCTGATTGCTGGAGACACTGCCGTGAATGAAGCACAGTCCTTGCCACCCCAGGGTCCTCCCCCTTCAAACACACACATACTGAGGGTGACTGCTCCCTAAGCACAGGACTTTGGTCATCACCCTGTCAGTAAAATCAAAGTTGGAGCTAAGTTAATGACTCTGCAGGCAAAGACACCACCTGCAGGAACTCTGATGGATGAGCAGAGGGTGCCATCAAAAAGGGGCTAAACTTCCCCCAGAAAGTTGTTGAGCCTCACATGCATCCAATTTTCCAGGTCCAACACACCAGCAGTACTGCCGCACAGTAGCCCCCGGGGGCAAAGCCAGGAAGAACCAGAGGGAGGCAGGATTTCTGCACAAGCTGATGATGAAGGATGAGCAGACTGCCTTATTCAACAATCAGCCTGCGGGAGGACTTTAGCCTCTTAAGAAGGACAGGGATGTGTTTTGGATTATGTCAAATGGCTGGCAGGTCCCGGTCTTATTCTCAGGCTCCAGCCTTGCCAGAAGCACCTGTTCAGGCCCGACGGGCAGATCCATGTGGACACACATCCAGGTGCCAGCCAAGGAACTGAAGGACTCAGACTGCCCAAATCCCCAGCTTTGCTTCCCAGGCAGGCAGCAAAAGCGTATAGACAGGAAAATTTGTGTGTGGGGGGGGGGTGGTAACACAAAGGGAAAGAAGACCACTAGGTGGCCCAGAAGGAGGAAAAGGGGGTCCTGTTTCTCCCTCAAGCTTCCGATCAGCAAGAGTACCATGGCAGCAGCAGCCTTCCTGGACTAGATCGGGTAGCTCATCCCAGCCCACTGCACTCAGGGTGAGGGAGCAGGCAGGAGACAAGCATGTAGACGTTGGTGGGAGGCGTGGAGGACATGTGGGGATTCTTACGAAGTAGAACCGGAATGTTTTTAGGGTAGGAGAAGAAGGAAGAGTTGGGCCGCATCCAGGTGAGGACAGAGCGCACCCCCGTCTAGAGCTCATGCTGAAGCAACACAGTGAGCCCCCGAGAATCTGGAATCCGTGAAGGTGGCCCAGACAGGACAGGCATGCAGGCAGCACTTGGAATGCACAGAGACCGCACTTCGGCCTCTGGTGGCTCAAACCAGGTCTGAGTGAGCACGGCAAGTCCAAGGTCTTGGGTGAGAGCCATGGGTCAGGTGTAGGAGAGCAAGTTCAAGTCATAACAGCCATCCACCTGTAACACAAAAAGCCATCAGGTCTGACCTGCTCAGGGCCATGCGAGCCAAGCAGAGGGAAACGATCACTCACGTCAAAGCGGCCGATCCGTGTAGAGGTTTGACTGGCCCGGATCATCTCTGTCAGCGCCCACATCTGCTGCACCTCGGAGGATACCCTGCCGGGGTCTGGGAGACCCTGCTCCAGAAGGAGGGGTCAGTGGCTATGTGTCTTTACCCAGCAGTGTCCTCAGGGCCCCAGAGAGGCCAAGCTGGGCTATGGGGCCCGCCAGCTCAGACCAGTAACATTCCCAGATGACTTGTGAGACATGAGTTTGGGGCCTGGTGTGCAGTAGGCAGCCCAACTCCATGCCAGCAATGCTTCAAATCCCATGATCTAAGAGCAAGTACCCAGCAGGAAGATGGCAGAGACTGAGCGGAGGGCCCTGGGTCCAGCCCCAGATTCTTGCAGAAAGGGGCCCACCAGGGCCTGTGCTGGACACTAGAGCCATTCGCAAATGGTTCTTACCCAGGGTGGGACTTACCTCATGGAGAGGCGTGGGCTGCTCACAGGGCACTGGGTGGGAAAGCCACTTGGGAAAGGCCATGGAGGGGCTCTGCAAAGCAAAGGTATACAGCACTGAGGGAGGCAGAGTGAGACAGTCCTGGGACCAGATTCCAAGCTCCTGGGAGCAGGCTGGGAGACCCTGAGCCTCAGACACTGGGAAAATCCTATTCAGGGGGCCCACAGAAGCTCAAGGGGGCAGTCAGGCCACAGAAGCTCTCCTACTGTGCAGGAGGAGGCCCCAGGAACACTGTGTCCAACCACAAGCAGCAGAAGGTTCTCTCAGCAACTGAAGGCTCCTGGCTCTGGGAGTGGCAGGTCCCCCCAAAAGTCAGGGGATATGGCGACATGGCCGCATCATGAGCTTCTGGCATTTCTACCCAGCGAAATTCCATGAAAGCCTCCTTCTGAGTTTCACTATCCTCACCCATCCCCCATTCCTAGTTCTCCCAGCCATAGCTGGGAGCCTCCTGGGGAAAGGGCCAGCCAACAGCTCTAAACCAGTCACCTACCTTTGGTCTCTGCTGGTAGATCTGCAGCTCCTCCACTGTGAAAGACAGCCACAGTGGTGACGGCTGCCGCAGAATCAGGCGCAGTTCCAGTACTCTGGCCATGTCACATAGCATCTGATACACACACACAAGGACGCAGCAAGAACCCAGCTTACTGCCCGAGAGCCTCCCAATCAGCAGTGAGCCAAGATGCTGCCTCCCCAGGCCTTTGGGAAGGAAGAACAGTAGTCCCTCCAAGGTGCCCATATAGCCACAGCCCAGACCAGCCTTGCCCTTCCTCTTCCCTCCTGGTGTACTGGCCCAAGCCCCAGGCCCCCTGTAAGCCCTCATCTGGGCTTCCCTGGCCATGCTGAGGCCCAGCTGACCTGGTGCTTGAACAGCGATACATACTCCTGGGCCCCCTCCTCACTGTGTGGGTCGGGCATCAGGCAGTAGTTCCGTAGGCAGGTCACCCACTTGGCCGGTGTGTGTATCGAGGTGTGCTGGCGCACACGGATGCTCAGAAAAGCTGTGTAGTAATTCTTAAACACGATCTCCTGCAACTAGAGCACATGTAACCCACCGTAACAAATCAGACTCAGGCCCAGGGCCTAAAAGGCTCAAAAAATGCCATCTCCCCCTCCCATTAGGAATGTACTCCTACTAAACTAACAATTTGAGCAAGCATCTGCTAGGACCCAAAGATAATTTTGTTTTCCTAGAAGAGCTCACAGTTGAATGAGCAGGTCATGCAAACAAACCACAACTACAGATCTTGCCAGATGTCCAAGATGCTGCCAGAGCTCAGAGCCCTAACTCTGGAGGAGGCAGAAAATTACAGATGAGGCCTGAAGGAGGAAGAGCTCACCAAGTAGACCAGAAGAGAAAAGGAACAGAAAAGTAGTATATATAAAGGAGCACAAGAGGGTGAGAGACCCTGGAGCACTCCTGGAAGAGTGAGTGATTCAGCCTGGCTATAGCAGTGGTCCCATCACTGCACACTCATCAATCACCCAAAGAAAAAATTTTTTTAAATACACGTGTCAAGGCTTCACCCCAGATCTAATGAATCAGGATCTCCAGGGTTGGGTCCTTTAATGAAGCTTCCCGGATGAGAGTAAGGAATAGCTAGAGGAGAACCACAAACTTCAGCACAAAGTGCACGAGGCAGAAGGCTGAGAGGCAGGCAGGGCGCAGACGCAGACTGGCCCTGAATGCTAGGCCGTTAGAAAGTAGACTTTATCCTCTATGTTGAGGTCATGCAATGCGCAGTCACTCTGCCAGCTGATACGGAAGTGCAACTGGGCATTGGAAATTGGAGTCACTGGGAGGATCCCGATGAAGGATGAGTTGAACCTGACTTCCTGCCAGGACAGTAGGAATGGGCAAGAAGCTGGTTTAGAGACAACTCATTGTCTAATGATCCTAAGCAGAGACCAGGGACAAAATGATCCCTCACCTCTATCTGGTTCACACCTGTATTTCCAGCACCTAGCCTACCATCTGGCACCTCCATGCCAGCGCCGCTCTGGACATAGAGGAGAGACATTGAAGAGCACAGGACAGGAGGCTGCATTCTAGTAAACGTGTTAACTGAAAGAATAAATAAAGGTTAACTGAATTATAGAGGCAAGGGACACTTCAGAGGCTTTTTGTAAAACATCAAGGCTCCAGGATGCGCCTGAGTTCCCAGGTTGGCCCCGCCCCGGAGGCCCGGTTGCGCCCACCCCACGGGGCTAGCTCACCTCGAAGGGCGCGGCGCTGGGGAAGGTGACATCGATGACCAGCACGCCGGGCCGACCTTGGGAGGTACGCACGTCGCCAACTTGCAGAGCCACGGTGCCTTTCACATGGCAGGGTACTGACACGCGGGACATGGCGCCAGCGGCCGCGACACAGTACAACAGCCGCTCCCAGCCTCTGACCACGGATCCTCCCCTGCGATCCTAGCCAAGCCCCAAAAACTACAACTCCCGGGAGGCCTCGCGCTCCGGCGAGCTCAGCCAATCAGCGATAAACAGGGCAGACACCGAGCCGGAAGTACCTGAGGAAATTCTCCTTCAGCCAATCACTGCACGAGCCTTAGAGAGCCGAGCGCGGGCGGATCCAAGCAACTGCCGAGCCTCCGAACCGCACCCTTCTGCATAGCGAGCAACCGTCGTGAGCCAGCCGCGCACCTCTAGTCTCGCTGTGTTTCTGTCTCTGCGCAAAAGTGATAAGCACGGGTGAGTACAGTGCCTGGCGGATAGTAATTGCAAAAATAAATATTAACTATTTTTTTAAAAGGGCAAAAGATTTGAACAGATACTTCACAAAAGAAGATAAACAAATGGCCAATAAGCACATGAAAAATTGCCTAATGTCATTATTCATCAGGGAAATACAAATTAGAGCCCCTACGAATTAGAAACCCCTACACATCCGCTGAAGGCCTCTAGGTGGCGCAAACGGTTTACACTCGACTGCTACCCGAAGTGCTTTTAATTCTTGGCAGCTACAGCCAAGAAAATCCTACGGAGCAGTTCTACTCTTTAACACACAAGGTCACCATGAAGTGGAGTGGATTCCATGGCAACCACTACCACCACCAACACATCCACTAAACTAGCTAAATTTAAAAGCTAGTGAGGATGTGAAGTCCCTGGAACCATTATCCACTGATGATTTTCAACCACTTTGGAGAACAGTTCGGCCATTTCATAAAAAGCTAAACGTATACCTGTGATATGATCCAGTCATTGCCCTCCTAAGTATTTACCCAAGAGAAATGAAAGCATGTGTCCACCCAAAGGTTTTATTCATAATAGCCAAAAACTGGAAACAACCTAAATGTCCAACTTACGAAAATACTGTGGTATATCCATACACTGGAATACTACTTGGCAAGAAAAAAGAATGAACAACTGGTACACACAACAACAGGGATGGTTCTCAAAAGCATTATGTTAAGCAAAAGAAGCCAGACCCAAAAGAATACGTACTGTATGAGTCCAAAACCCAAACCCGTTGCTGTCGAGTCAATTCTGACTCACAGGGACCCTATAGGACAGTAAAACCGCCCCATAGGGTTTCCAAGGAGCAGCTAGCTTGGTGGATTCAAACTGCTGACCTTTTGGTTAGCAGCCAGGCTCTTAACCACTGTGCCACCAAGGCTCCTGTATGAGTCCACTTACATGAAATTCTAGAAAAGGCAAAACTAATCTATAGTAATAGAAATTAGAACAGTGTTGCCTGGGACCAGGGTGAGTAGAGGGGATAGAGAGGGAGGTATAATGGAACATATTGGGGTGATGGAAATGTTATATAATTTGATTGTGATAGTGGTTATATTTGTCTAGACATTTGTCAAAACTTATTAAACTGAATATTTAAGATGTATGCTTTTTATTGTATCTAGATTATACCACAACAAACATGATTTTTAAAAAAGCAAAAGATAAATATTAACCATCATGTTTATCATCATCCTTTGAGATATTTGTGGAAACAATGCCTCAGAGATTATTAGTTAAACCCATTTTACAGATGACAAAGCTGAGGCCAGAAATAGTTCAGTGATTCCTCAAACCAATAAAGCAATGTGAAGTAGAGCTGGAACCAGGGTCTCTCTTGAGCTCCTGCCTCACAGGCAAGAACTCTCCAGGCAGTGGTCAGCTTCTGGTGGCCTGTGCCTTCTCTATGTGGAGGGACCCAGAGACACAGGCCTAGAGCAACCTGTGGTGCTTTCAGGGTAGGGGAGGCCAAACAGGCCCAAACTCCAGGCCAGCCCAAAGAACAGCTGGGAGAGGTCATGTTCCATCTAGGCAGCTTTTACAGCCCAGGCCTAAAAACTATCGGTGACGACAAGCCATTGTTTATACCTCCTTCTTGGCTGTTGACAGCAGAAAATCCTTTGTAAATTCAGGTCTCTTAGACTGGCCATTGCCATTTCCATTTGGACTCAGGCTAATGTCTCACTGCCTGGATCCTTCCAAGTTTCTGGGAGTTTCCCCTTTAGGTAGCCCACAGCTTGCTGGATCACAAAAAAAAAAAAAAAAAAAAAACCCGCTGCCGTTGAGTCAATTCCAACTCATAGCAACCTTACAGGACAGAGTAGAACTGTCCCATAGGGTTTCCAAGGCTATATAAATCTTTACAGAAGCAGACTGCCACATCTTTCTCCCACGGAAGAGCTGGTGTGTTCAAATCACCAGCCTTTCGGTTAGTATTCGAGTGCTTTAACTACTGCACTGCCAGGGCTCAGGCCTCCCCAAATCCCAGACAACTGTAGGCCCCATGAAAACCAGGAGGATGCACATAGGCTCTGGTCTTTGGCCCTGGCTCTGAGAGCACAGCCACCAGCAATTGCAGAACTCTGTGGCCCTTCATTGCAAATGAGTCTCACCTTGTTATCTTGCTCTTTAGATACCTCCATTTCTCTCACGTGGTGGACAGCAACCTCCAGCCCAGGCCCTCCAATCCATTGCCTACACTGTGCCAAGGCGACTTTTTCAATGTGAAATTCTCATGAAGTCCCTCTGTCTCAGGGTCAAGTCCAAAAACAACTGATAAATTCAAGGAGCTGGGAAGCAGGTAGCCCCTGCATCTTTACTCTAGTTTCTTCTATATGTTGCCTTCTCACTCCCTCTAGGCCTGCTCACATCTGCATTATACCTAGGATGCTCTATACCTCACTCCTCCTCTTGACTCTTCAGTTCTTGGTTTAAATTTTGATTTTGCAGGCAGTCCTTTCTTTTTTTTTATTTTATTGTTGTACTTTAAGTGAAAGTTTACAATTCAAGTCAGTCTCCATATAAAAATTTATATGTACATTGTTATGTGGCCCTAATTACTCTCCCTATACTATAACAGCACACTCCTCCTTTCCACCTCTGATTTCCCATGTCCATTCGGCCAGCTCCTGACCCTTTTCAGGCAGTCCTTTCTTGATCCCCCTAGACTAAGTCAGATCACTGTGCTTGATCAGAGTGTTCTGTGCATTTTGTGGTAATTGTTACCTAAAACCTGTCTCCCACACTGGTCAATGCAGAGCAGGGGGACAGAAATTGAGTCAGCCTGCTTAACGGCTGTGTCCCACATCTTCTAGCATTGTGCTGGGCATAGTAGGTGCCCAATAATTACATTAAAAATGAATACATAATTGTTTGATTTGAGGAATTTCTACTTCCAGCCAAGTGGAGTAACTGGGACAGGATTTATCCTTCCACCTGACTCAACTGAGAAAAACAAAAAAACAGACAAAATATATGAAACAATGGTTTTCAGACATTGTACATGAGATAGTACAGGACAGTGGTCCCTGAGGTAAGAGAAACAAACAAAATGAGCTCAATGATTGCCTCAGCTGACTGGAGAGTTTCCAAGTGTAGTGAGGGGGGGACTCAGATGTAGTCTGGCGACTCCATGAGTTGAAGAGGCAAAATTAAGACTTCAGGGAGGCAAAGACATCTAGACGACAGGGAGAACAGAGCTACACAGAGAGATAACTCTGGAAATCTCCAGGGGATTCCCCTTGAATCTTCAGCTGCGTACTAACAAGCATATTCATGTAAAGAAACTACCCAAGTCTTAATCCGAAAGGATTAAGAGGGAACAATCACCACATCTTACTCAGAGCCAGAAATAGTTTTGTTCCCATCAGCTGGAGTAGAAAATCTCCTAATCCATGGGGGCGTTGTGTAGACTACTTAGATGAGTATTGCCTCAGTAATAGATAAAAATTTGCCCTAGGCTCTGGGATCCACCGAACAAAGCTTAAAATCAAGCCTCAAACAGACAAAAATGTTTAAATGCATCCCAGAACAAAGCTCAAGAATATTTTTAGGAATACAATAATATCCAGCATCCACCGAGGTAAAATTTACAGTATCTGGTAATCAATCCAAAATTACAATCATACAAAGAAGCAGAAAAATATGACCTGTAATGAGATAGTGAGCAGAAAAATCAAACGATAGAAACGGATGAAGAAATAAGAGAGATGATAGAATTAGTAGACAAGGACATTAAAATGTGAACATAATATGTTCAAGAAATTGGAGGAAATACCGAGCATGTTAGACACGTGGAGGATATATTTTTTAAAAAGACACAAACTCCTATAGATAAAAACGTAAAATAAGATAAATACAATGTCTAAGATTAAAAGAAAAAGACACTAAATGGGATTAACAACAGATCAGACAGAGCAGAAGAAAAAATTAGTAAACTTGAAGATATCCAAAATGAAACACAGAAAAAAGACTAAAAAAATGAACAGAGCATCAGCGAGCTGTGAGGCAACTTCAGGTGGCCTAACATATAGGTCATTGGAGTTCCTGAAGAGGAGGGAACAGAAAAAAATAACATTTGAAGAAAAATATAAACCCACACATCCAAAAAGCTCAACAAATCCCACGCACAAGAGATATCACAAATCAGAGAAATGTCATCACTGCAGACTCTACAGATATTGTTAATTTGAAAGATCATGCAACCAGGGTGGCTGTATTTTGCCTTGAACTACTTTTGCATAGCAAGCTCCCAGTTTACATTCAGATTATGTATGTATTTGGATTCTTTCCACTCAGATGCTTAATAAACACCTCAACCATAGGGTGTCCAAAACAGACCTTTTTTTTTTTTTTATTGTTGTGCTTTAAGTG